ATGATGTCATCATTACATCATGTGATGTCATTGTCTATTTAATTTGTAGGAGGTTGATGCTCCTTTGAGCGATAAGACTGCCTCTACTAAACCAAAACCGGTTTCAAAACTCGACAAACAGGTTCAGGATTTGATTAATTTGATTTGTGACGTAAAGTCGATGGAAGAAGTTATAAAAGAAATGAAATATGACGTCAAAAAGGCACCATTAGGTATGTACATGTGCATGTAATGTACCCGGTAATTTTTTAATCATCTACATGTATTTTAATTAATTAATTATCAAATGCATGTACTTGTACATGTATGCTCAATTTTCCGTATCCAATTATTGTAAGATCGAAAGTGACCACGTGATGGTGTCCTTAATTTCACTTAATTAGAATATATATGGCATCATTAAATGTGGTATCATTAATTGACTGCTTTTAGTAGACATTTAATATCAAAATCTCCAGGTGGCTACTTGTACAAGTATATTGACCACGAAGTCTGTGAAATTAAGAACCACGAAACCTTCCACATTTACAATTTGTACATGTACATTTACAATTTGTACATGTACATGTACGTGACTACTTGTACATGTACATGTATGTCCTCTTTCTCTCTTTAGGTAAACTCACTAAGGCACAGATAAAGTCAGGATATGCAGCACTGAAGAAGATTGAGGGTTTAATACAATCTGGTAAAACTAGCGGGGACCCTCTCTTCAAGGCTTGTGATGAGTTTTATACAAGAGTACCTCATGACTTCGGGTAATAATCCACACAATATGAATTAGAATGCACTGTCTGTACTAAGAATAGAAAAGTTTTGATTCATATTAGCTCCCTAATTTGATGAAAGAAGCAAAGGCTATATAGCCCATGGTTTTTTCAAAAAATGGCCCAAAAATCACCCCAAATTTTTATTACATTTTCTGATACATATTGATGTCCTTATGCTGTGTAGAAAGTTTGAGCTGATTCTGACAAATATTTTTCAAGTTACAGCCATTTTAAGAAAATGTCAAAATTCTGAAAAATACCCAAGGCTATAGCCCATGGTTTTTTCAAAAAAATGGCTAAAAATCACCCCAAATTTTTATTACATTTTCTGATGCATATTGATGTCCTTATGCTGTGTAGAAAGTTTGAGCTGATTCCAACAAATATTTTTCATGTTATGGCCATTTTAAGAAAATGTCAAAATTCTGAAAAATACCCAAGGATTATAGCCCGTGGTTTTTTCCAAAAAATGGCTTTAAAATCACCCCAAATTTTTATTACATTTTTTGATACACATTGATGTCCTTATGCTGTGTAGAAAGTTTGAGCTGATTCCGACAAATATTTTTCAAATTACGGCCATTTTTAGAAAATGTCAAAATTCTGAAAAATACCCAAGGCAATAGCCCATGGTTTTTTTCCAAAAAATGGCTCCGAAATCACCCCAAATTTTTATTACATTTTCTGATGCATATTGATGTCCTTATGCTGTGTAGAAAGTTTGAGCTGATTCCAACAAATATTTTTCAAGTTATGGCCATTTTAAGAAATTGGCAACTTTTTGAAAAATACCCAAGGCTATAGCTCACAGTTTTTTCTAAAAAATGGCTCCGAAATCACCCCAATTTTTTATTTCATTTTAAATAATATTATTTTATAATTCTTACAGTAAATTGATGTTGGTTTATAATCATTATTATTATCAAGAGTAGATAATTAACTAATACTCATGTTATTATTTATATTTTTTGTTTACTCATTTTATAGTATGAGGAGACCTCCATTAATAACCA